CGATAAATCAATTTCCTTACTGCCTTGTTAGGGACACTGGCTATAATGTAAAGGATAAACACTTTTGCTACAGAATTCATCATTCACTCAAGTGATCTGTGGGCATGCAGACATCACCTGGGTCAAGTAATAACAGTGGAAGCAGAGACCTCAATGCAATTGATACCTCTTAATCCAGTCAGGGCATCCAGAAAGCAAAGCTCTTTGAATTCCAGAGGCTGCAGAAAAATGTAATTGGATACAGATTCAGCTCTACAAATACGACTTTAGTTTTACAAAGAAAAAAAAAACAAAGTACAACCTGGATTAGACCAGGAGAGCCCCAGTCCTTTCACCTGTCTGGAGAGATTGAGAACACTTGCTACATTATTGATGAATTAAGCAAGTAATCTGTCAATTAAGAGACCTCTGGCCCCACTCTAGATGACTTCATTTGACAAATCACCTGCTCAGCTGATCACAGTCAGACGGTTCCGAGTCTATAGAAACTGTTCATGTCATAAGGACCTTTAGACCATGCTGGACTCTGGGACTGAGAGACCCCTAGATTAGGATCGCAATATTCAGATTTAAAAGTAAAGAGAAACTGCACTCTCTTGAAGAAATACAGTATGGATCTCTGCAGATCAGATGACACCAGCACTGAGCACTCAGTCCCAACTATAGCAGTTGGACTCTTCTATTATTTAGGATAAGCCATGCTAAAACACTACCTTAAAACCCTGCGCTGAAGAACTGGTGTTCGATTTGTGCTTGAATAGGCCCACAGGCTGATGTACATTAGCTAATTCACAGGGACATCTGAGAGCCATTAGTCACAATACTTAATGACTTTTCTGTGTCATGAAAAGATGGGAGAAATTAGGGCCATATGTACCCATACTGCATACACACTTATCCTCTCTCTGCACAATCAAATTATCCTCTCTCAGCATGACCCCTCTCGTTAGATAACGGGCAGGTTGTGCTACAGATCGCGCCTCTGGACTGTGAGCAAGGTCAAGGAAACCGGAAGCAGACAGCAGCGGGAAAACTTGAAAACAGACTCAGGAGCAACATGAATTTGACCGGCTTTAACCAGAAAGAAGGCAGGAGAAGGAAGAAAGGGATTGCTGCGGAGCGGAGCACTTTCAATCTTTGGAGCAGTCATCAGTCTTGGTCATTGGTCTCGTCCATCGAGTGCTCCTGGCCATCAGAGTGGTCTCGTCATCAGTCTCGGCCATTAGAGTTGTCTTCGCATTGGCCTTGACCATCAGCGTGGTCTCATCATCAATATTGGTCATCTGTCTCGGCCATCAGCATGATGTCATCATCAGAGAGGTCTCGTCAGTTTCTGCCATCAGTCTCGTCCATCTGAATGCTCCTGGTCATCAGAGAGGTCTCGTCAGATTCGGCCGTCAGTCTTGTCCATCTGAGTGCTCCTGGTTACCAGAGTGGTCTTGTCATCAGTACCGGTGACAAGTCTGTCATCACTCTCGCTCAGCAGAGCGGTCTCATCATCAGTCGTGGTCATCAGAGTGGTCGTGGTCATCAGTCACGGGGGAGGTCATCAGTCATTACTCTTGGCTGTGGAGCTCAGCGAGTCTTCAAGGGGGCGGCTGTGTTTTCTTTGGCCTCCAAGGGTGGGTGCGTGGAGATGGCGGTTTGGGAATAAAAGCCGGTATCTCATCTCCCTGCAGCCTCGCTAACCCCCAGACCTGACAGACTCCGCTCAACCGCGGCTGACCCCTCCATTGTGTGCCCCCGGGGGAAATGTTTCCTGGCCCCCAGATGGGAAAACGGATACTTTTAAAGCTCTCCGACGAGCAGGGCGTCACGGGTCCCTGGGCTGCGGTTTTCACTGCAGCCGACTGCTTGATCCTGCTTGCTGTGTGTGTGTGTGAGTGCGCGTGTGTGTGTGTCTGTGCATGTGTGTGTGTGTGTGTGCGTGTGAATGGGATGATATGCATCGGGGTGTCTCAGCATAGCAGGCACAGGAGCTAAAACCACAGTGACAGACACGAGCTGGAGGCCGGTGTACACAGGCTGCTTATCAACCCCTCCCCAGTAGTAATAGCGCAAGATAAACAGAGAAACAGGAAGAGCTCTGACTAGTCTCCCCTTCTTTCACACTTTCTAGTCACGGGAGCATCAGGGCGTCATCCCCCAGGGACACCATGAGGGAAGAGGGGGTCCCCCGCAGGTAGGGCTCTGCTGTGTGTCCTGCCAGGTCCGGACACACACACACACACACCCAGAGCCCCCTGGGACACTCCTGCTCACCTCCACCACACACGCCTGCTGTCCCATGGCTGCTGTGCTTCCTGCATACAGGTGCTTTCATGACCAATTCCTCTCTCACTCTCACCTGCACACCTCCTCTCCCTCTCCTACTCTCACCTCCTCTCCCTCTCCCACTCTCACCTCCTCTCCCTCTCCTACTCTCACCTCCTCTCCCTCTCCCACTTTCACCTCCTCTCTCACTCTCACCTGCACACCTCCTCTCCCTCTCCCACTCTCACCTGCTCGCCCACCTGTCCCTCTGTTTCCTGTTACCCGAGAGGAAGCAGGTCCTGCACGTTCTGCTGGAGACAGGCCAGCCTGGAGGTGTTTCCAGGCTCACTTCATGTGGGTTTGTGTGCTTTCCTCTGCTCAGGACAGGCTCCCCTGCCCTCCTGTGGCTGCCCTGGATTTGCTTTTGTTCACTCCTCTGTGTGGGTCTCATTAACAACCTCTGGACAGACACACACACATTCCCCCGCTGTGCATACCCCAGCCCTCTGCCGTCTGACAGACTGTAATAAACACTGGCTCAGAGGAATTCCCTCATGTCAGAAACCCAGTCCAACATGACACGGAGAAAAAGTACCAAGGGAGTCAAGATCCCTGCGCAGCTCCGAACTAGTGACACTACAAGCTACAAGAGAACTGTCTTTCGTCGTCGCATGAAAACCGGACTCATTAATTCCGCTCTGTCTCCAGAAGATTGGGTCTTGAAGTCGGAGGACTGGGGCGGGACAGAGCCAAACCAACAGCAAGAGACTGACAAGGGAATTGACAAAGGAATTTGAAGGCAGTGCTTGCAGAACCTCTCCTCCCTGCCTGTGGGAGTGGCAGAGGGCGACATACCTCACCCAGTGCCATTTTCCTGACAGCTTCCCCTGGATACCAGGAGGACCTGTCTCTTCCCGCAGCGCCTAAGTCCTGCGCTGCAAGAGCCTGTCTGAGTCCTTTTTTTTTTCTTTCTCTCCCCCGAGCAAATGAAATTAAAAATGAACCAGGATCCCCCCCCCCCCCCCCCCACTCCCTCCAGGAGCGACACAATTAACAGGCTTTAAGAGCTAAGCTTCTCCGGCAGCTAAAAGCCGTCTCCCACAGAGAGAGTCATCCGCTGGGACTCGCATTATGCAAAAGACTAATTTGCCCCGGCGCGGAGGTCCTGAGCGACAGCGATGCTTGAGTGATGGAGTGGGGCCGCCTGTCCAGCCGAGTGGACAGCCTGCTGCACAGGCACTGAGCACCAGAGGCCTCGAAACCGCGCAACACGGGTTTTAGTAAGGAATGGGAAGGAGCCCTCTACAGCAGAGCTGCTCTTTAATTTGAGGAGTACGGAGCGGGCTGACGGGCTGCGCACCTCTCGAGATTACAGGGCGCCTGAGCCTCTTCACACCACAGGAATGCGCAAACATCGCGCGCAGCTTCGAGACGCAACACCTGAGCGCTGGGATCGGACCGATCCACTCCCACAGGACAGGCCACCTCCGCCCACCGCTCCCCAGCTCTTCATTCCCGCTCGGAGCAAGAAGACAGGAAGACAAGAGGGTGATCCCTCGGATCGTGTTTGAAGGGCGAGGAGAGCTTTCCTCTCCCCGCCCTCTGGTGATCTGGGGAGAAGGCGTGTTCACCCCCTGGCGGGTAACAACCGAAACGGACGGTCCCCCCCCCCGACAAGCGCACCCCGATAACAGGGCGCAGGTACTGAGGCTCCACCACTACTGTGGACGGCTCAAAACGTAAAGAAAAGGCAGAAAATACAACACAGAAAACCCTTAATGTTCCCAAGACAAGCAGAGCCAGACAAGTCTCCAGCTCGCCGGGGTGCTTGAATTTGTCACTCGCTGCTTTTCAGCGTCGTAAATCCTCCTTCAAAGTGACCGGGGCTCGTGCGGATAACAGGCCCTTACTGCCCAGACGGCTTGCGCCACAGCTGCGCTTTTTCAAAGGGAGGAAACTTTGCACCTCGCTGTAAGGCTTCCTTTAAAGCACAACCTGTTTCACATTTCCTTTTATTTTCATTTACCGCCACGAACCTGACCTCCCGCCTCCCTGGAGTCACAGGGAGATGAGCCTCATGTCAGTCTCAGGGCAGCTCTACAAAAATAAGGAAGTGAACTGGGACATGTACTGTAGCTGCAGCATGAACCTGCGGCTTCAGATTCATTCTTTGTTTACCTTGAACTGAATCCTGGGCCAGTTAAGAACAGAAGATTAGTCACAAACGAGAGGAAGTTATTAAGCCAGTCCAGCCCATTTCGGAATTAGTCACTATTTGATTTGACAAGCTCATTCAACTGGTATGTCACGGGCTTGTCTTCAACAACACGAATGTGGCGCTTGATCCACACTCCCACAACCCTTTGTGCAAAGATCCTATCCAAACCAACTTTACTGCGCTAAGCTTCCCTTGCCCTCTTTCTGCATATACGGTTACACACAGTTTGCACCAGACAATTACAAAGCAGTGGGGGATCTCTTTCAATATTTAACCTGAAAGCCTTCCCCAGGGGACTTTGGTGATCCCCCCCCCCCCGCCAGCTGGCTGCACGCTCACATTCCACCTCTACAGCCTCACTCTCATCTCCTCACAACCTCACAACCTCTTCCACTTGCAATCTTCCCAGCAGCCCCATAAAATCTTCATGATAACAGGGGTTTGCTTTTTACAGAGGGGAGGGAGAACGAGAAGAGAAGAGCCCCCCCCCCTACCCTCCCCGCCTCCTGAATGCTGCAGCCCGAAGCCGCCGGCGTCGCCGGTGAGCCCCAGCCCCCGCTCCACGGAGATGGAGCGCCCGGACGAGGTGCCCGTTACGTCCAGTACCCCTCAAGGCTCCTCAAGGTGGTGTGACAGCCTGAATCGTGCCAGCGACCGACGGGGGGGAACTGAGAGAGGGCCGGGAGGGGGGAGACGGAAAGAGAGGAAAGGGGCGCTGATGGTAAACGTCCCGAGGCTCGATAGCAAGAAGAGCCGGCAGCCCGGAGAAAAGGATGGAGCTGTGGCTGGAATATCACAGCACAGACTTGGAGAGCCGGAGAGTTCTGTGTCCGTGATGAAAGCTTTCAGACAGGGACAGATGGAGAGCAAAGATCGGGGCTCTGATACAGAGGGGGTTCTGTCTGAAGAGATCCCCCTCTGGGTCAAGATTCCACATAGACTGGCCAAACCTCCCGAATGGATTCCAGGACCTTCCTCATGACCTAGAGAGCTCAGAGTCACCTGCACACAGAAGAGCTGCTACACAGCGCACTCCAGCAGGTGCACCTCTGGCACAGCTGGCAGGCCTCTCCCCCACAGCCAATCAGCATCACCCCGATGCCAGCAGGCATCAAACCAACACCAACAAGCATCAACCTCACACTGGCATCTGACACCCCGACACCAGCCGGCGTCGAACCCGTACCGGCCGGCATCGCGCCAACGCTGGTATGGAATGACCCCGACGCCGGTTGGCGTTGGCCAGGCACCAGCTGGCTGACGGGTCACAGAGGTCACGGCAAAGCTGTAACCCAGAGGGAAAGGACAGAAAGAGAGAGAGAGGAGAGACCCTGTCCTACCTGTGTCCTCTTCGGCGTGCCGCTCAACTCCCCGTTGGCAGGTGGCACAGGATTCTGTCCAGCGCCGGCTCTCGCAGTCCGGCGGCTTGCTTGCTTTTCCAAATTGCTTTCGGATGGGAGGTGGTGGTGAGGGGCAGCTTGCCCCCAAAAGGTAAGAGAAGGAACTGACCACTTTCAAGAACCCCTTTCAGAGGCGCCCGAAAAGCCGTGCGGAAGGGCCCCCCCCTCCCCTCCCCTCCTCCACGCCGCTGCGGCTCATGAGAAGGATCCGAGCCCTTGGGCACACTTCTGGGACAGCCGGCTCGGGGTGGCGGGCCGTGCCTTCGGATTCACAGTCCCGGAGAAGTGTGAGACGAGCCTGGAGGCGGACAGATCTGCTCTGGCAACTGTAAAGCACGGCCGCTCTCTGCCTCCCTGGCAGCCCCTCCCTCTCCAGAGGTGAAACCTCTCTCTCTCTCTCTCTCCCTCCCGCTCGCTCGGCTCTCCGCTTCTTTCCTTTAACCCTTCACTGCCCAGGCTCTCCGGCTCTACTGCAGGCCTGGAAGAGCAGGAGCCGGCGGGAGCCCAGCAGGTCCGGTCCGGCGGAAGACAGGGCTATTACAGTGAGCGATCCAACGAGCAGGTGGTCTTTCTCCGGGACCGACCGCTGCCCTTCAAACAGGAATACCGGGGCCCCGACAGTAATACACGCGCCCCACCATCCCCTCCCCTCCCCTCCGAGCTCGTCGAGGGGGCGTCCTGCTGTAGGCAGACGTGCGGTTTTGTCTGACCGCCCCCTCCTGGCCGGAGCAGGCCGTCAGTCAGATCCCTGGGCTGCGGTCCGCAGACCGACTCCGGTGACCGCAGGGCCAGCAGGAGTACAGGTGTGACAAGCCTGCTGCTCCCTAGAAGACACTGCTCTTGTCTCTCTTACCCCTCCTCCAGTTTCCCCTGGCTTGGCCCCCTATTGCCCCAGGGCTGGCCCTGGGGTTCACACAGAGCACCCTTTCCTTTGGGCTAGTGTGTCTTTCCACCAGCCACACCTTCACCTGACTGAAGAGGAGGATCCGGCCTCTCTGAGCTGCTCCCTGAGGTCCAGCAGCCCTGAACAATCTTTGCTCCAGCTTTTGTCTTCATACTGTATATAAGTAACCTAAAGCGATTTAAAACGCACTGGGTCATCCATTAGAAGAACACACAGGCCTTTTTTTCTTCCAAAGCGACAGGCCACATCAACTTTAAAATTAACTGCAGGGGGTTGTGCATTTGAATACACCGTTTACTACTTTTTGCATGAAGTTCTATAGCCCTGGCTTTTCAGCTCTCACTTCCTGGGACGCACACCAGACAACCCAGCACACTGCTTGAACTCCGACCTCATCCCCAAGCACTTCGCCAGCTGCAACACCTGTGTTTGCGGGACGCTGGGATCAGTGGTAAACAGACCTGTGACACAGGGCAGGGCCGGAGGGGCAGTGCTAACTTCCTAACCATGGTGATACATAAACAAGCACCTTCACCTCATAAATCAAGGCCGCCTCTAACGATGATAATGAGCTCGTAGAGTTACTGTCCCACGGAGAGCAAGAAGGAAGTCTCCAGGCTGTTGTGTCGACTGCCTCTCCTCTGGTGTGTGCGTGCGTGTGCACATTGTGTGTTCTCCCATGTGTTTTGGGTGTGCATGCGTGTGGTGGAATTTAATTTCAGCTCACATAAAAATCAAACAGGAGCCAATAGGAGATGCTAAAAAAAAACCCAGGAATTGCAATGTGTAGCATGTCTGTGTGTAGCTCTTGGACTTCACGAGCCTGCTTGTGTTTGTCTGCGTACAGCTGGGCAGGAGAACTGACCGATTCACTTCATCCCCAAACTGCTTTGACATCCCCTGGTGAATAGAAAATCAACAAGGGTATGAAAGAGAAGCATGAGCACAGAAGCCAGGGATGTACACGAACGGAGGTGGGCGCTGAATATGCACAAAGTCCCTTTGTCCTGCTGAAACCTCCCTGGGTCGCTGCATTGTTGCTATCAGAATGTTGCCCTCCCTAATGGGGCATATCTGTCAGCTTACTTCCGCATTTTTTTTTTCTCTTGCGCTCTGTGCAGTGCAGGGAAACAAACACACAGAAGAGCCCTCACAAAGAAACAAAGCCCACTCTTGCCGCTGATTAGCATAAAAATAGTTTAGGAAAAGCACTTGTAATTTTTTTTTTTTAATTATAACACTACCAGTTCAGAAAGTCACATTACAGAAAAATGCAGGCACGCCACTTGGACAAATTAGAGATAACAAAAAACATGACCGGGACTAATTGCTTCACACCAGAGTCCACAGTGATTACACAGGCTACACTGCTGTGGGAACAGAGCTGTACTCTCTGCCAGTCAGCTGGGTGCCAGCTGAGGCCTGGGCCTGCTGTGGTCAAATCAGAGTAAAGTGTAACAAAGCAAAGTTAAATCATGGTCAAACCACACTTGGCGCAGCAAAGCCCACGGATATCAAGGACAAATCAGAGTAAAGTGCAGTAAAGCCCAGCAATATCATGGTCAATGCAGAGTAAAGTGCAGTAAAGCCCATGGATACCATGGCCAAATCAGAGTAATGCGCTGTAAAGCCCAGAAGTACCATGGGCAATGAAGAATGAAGTGTGACGGGCAGTAAGTTCCCCTCAATGCAATGGAAAAGCGATACTGGACATCAGATATCTGGAACATACAGCTGGCAGGTGGGTTGAAGTTTTAGTTGAACTCGGGTCCTGAAGCCACTTTCCACCTGCATGGCTTTCACTCTGCGCCTGATACCTGGGCCACAGAAGAAAACCCGAATGCGCAGCGCTGCTCAAACACACCAGAGCTGCCACACCCTCCCCCTGCCGGTGAGCGACCAGTTAGGGGCGCGCTTTAGAGAAGTACTGTACAGGCCACAGATCTCTGGGGTGTGTGTGTGCGTGCGTGCGTGCGTGCGTGTGTGTGTGTGCTGGGGTACTCATGTTCACGCAAACTGATTTACAGCTGGAGCAGATAAGGAACCAGCAAAAAGGAAGAAATGGAGTTGGCCTGCTCTCAGCACAGCACAATCAATCCCAAAGCCTCCCCCAGCCCGATTCCAGAACACGCCTTCAGCGTTGTCTCTTATTCCCCCTGCACAGAGCGATGGGAACCAAGAACGCCCTTGCTGCAGGTCCGATCCTGCTTCACGCCGTGGCCTGAAACACCAATATTGCCATGCACAACACAAAACGAAGTGTGCTCCTTCGTTTGAGCCCGTTTATTTCAGAGCCTTCGTAACAGGTGCCGGAGTTTATCACGGCAAGCAGGTTGCATGTGTTTCGGAGCACCCTTCTCTCGTGAATTATACGGAGATTAATTTTCTTTTTCTACTAACATGGGATGTGAACATTTCTCGGCCCAGCACCGAGGAGTAGCCCTGGTGAAGCATGCCGCCTTTGATCCCTTTGGGAAAAACACGGGAACAAAGGCGGTGGGAATGCTCACATGCCATCCCCTTCCCGCTCGCAGCCGTACAGTCCCGCCTGCAGTGGGACAGCTCCAACATGCTGTCACAAAAGGCCCATAATCTGCTGTGATGTTAAGGTTTGCATACCAGCACTAATTCCCTCTGTAGCCCTATTGACTTTAAAGCCAGGCTGTTGTATCTCAGGGCCATCAAAGGTCCCCGGCGTTAATGGCTGTCCCGGAATCGCAGCTGCGCCCTCAGGGCTGGAGAGGATCAATGACAAAACCTTCCCCCCCGCCACCCAAACCAATTACACCCCCATCACCCCTTAATGGGACTGCCAAGGCTCTTCCCAGCCCATCCAGGGCTGGTCTCAGGAGGCAGCAGCAGTGAAGGGGATGCACTTGACATTTGGTCCTTGCACACAGTCAGCAGTGTGCAGATGTGTTCAGAGAAGAGTGCAGCAGAGTGCAGATCTCTCCGAGTCACAAAGGGTTCGTTGTGCGGGAGGGGGAAAACCAGCCTTTGTTCCCAGGCTTGTACCATCCAAGAGGCTTCATTTACTGGATCACTCACTCGGGCCATAACTCAGAGAGGGAGGAAGCTTATAACTCTATAAATCGAGGTCTTCTGTCCCCTGTCTTGCCACCTCTAACCCTAAACCCTTTCAGCCTCTCCTTGGTTCTCTTGTTTTCTCACACTGCCTCCTTCTCCTTTTGCTCTTGTGTTATTGCCTCTCCCTACCACCCCCACCACTGTCCCCCCTATATCTGCTTTACCTCTACTCAGCCCTACCACCATCCCCACCAACCTACCCCTCTACTGTCTGCACCCCAATAACGGGCCCTACCCCTACCTACCCCTCTCTACTGTCCCCACCTACCCCTCCTTCCTGTACCCGCCCACCTGCCCTGTACCTTTGTGCCTTACCTATGCCCCGCCCACAGACTCCGCCCCTCTCCACGTTGGCCACACCCCCACCCTGCCCCCCCCTCTCGCTCACTCCACCCGGAGGAGGGAAACAGCCGCGAGGATCTGCCGCCGGGGCCGACGGCGCTCTTGGCGTCCGGGGCGGAGCTCCCCGCGAGGCTGCCGCGCGGTACCGCACGACGGACCGGAGCTGACGGACAGCTATGGGCTGGGGCTCCCTGTCAGAGCCGGCCGCTCTCTTGGAAAGGGCTGACTGGGCCGTCCTGGCGCTGTGTGTGTGTGTGGGGGTGGAGAGGTGCATTAGTGGCTGGCAGAAAGGGCGCCATTGACATCCTTCCCAAGGCATGTTATTTACAGCCTCCTCCCGGTAACTCCGGCGCCCACGGCTCCGCTCCAGGGCGAAAGAGCGAACCCGTCCATCTCCGCGACTCCGCTGGACTCCTGGCGGGACGTCTCCCCCCTCCCCCCGGGAAACTCTGGGCGGAAGCAGCGTGTTTTCCGAGCTGCGAGGGGCGGAGGAGGGAGGGTTGTGAGCGTTTCCCACAAGAGCTGGTGGCTTGTCTGCTCCCTGCGCCTCAGCCCCACGAGCTCCAGCTCCTTCTCGGCACTGCTCCCCTATTCCCGGGCCGCGACCCCTCAGGCCCTTTTCCCAAGCCGTGGGAAAGAGCCGCTTGTTTTTTTCTGTCGTTCTAAAAGAAAGGTCATCGTGATGAGAAGACTTTGCCGCCCGCCGTTGGTAAACACATTCCGAGCCTTGAGGCTTTGCTCTGACGCACCTGGGCGCCGTCCTCCCCCCTCCGGGTTGTTATCAGAGACCCCCGTGTGAGGGCGCCCCCCCTCCCCGCCACGCCCCACTCTCACGCCAACCCCTCCCAAGGTCACCGAGACCGAGAGTGCGGCGCGGCCCGCTCACCAATCCGACCAGTCCGTTCCCCGAGGAGAGAGCCCTGTCTGCCCGGGCAGGAGAGCAGATCTTCCCCACAAGGAGCCGTGCTTGCTGATCGCTGACGGCGCAGCACGATCACTGCCACTCACAGGCTCCGCAGCTCTGTGCTCCAAAATCCAGGGAAGGTCCGGACCTGTGGTGGTCAAACCCGGAGAAATGGAAAAGATGAAACTCGTTTGGGTTTGTGGTGGAGAGTTCAGATAAGAGAGTTTACACAGCGTGGCCTTGGGAGACCGGAGGTTCCTAGAAGCGCCGCAGCAGGGAGATTAGAGCAGTCATAATAATTTCTTCTGTTTAATTGCACACGGCAATAACTGTCGAGGCCCTGCCAAGACTCGGACACTTCCCTGCCTCTCCCGATGTCTCCTCGTGCTTTTGAAGAAGCTGGAGCCGGGAGGGGGAGAATGAAGACACCTGCTCATGGGAAAAGGGAGAAGACAGAGCAGCAGGTGCAGGTTCGACAGAAACAGTGGCGTCCCGGTGTCCACTTTCAGCTCCCAGACAAGGGGTGAAAATTGCATAGTACCCTAGTCGGGCCTTAATTAGAATACTGTGTCCAATGTTTGTCAACACGTTCCAGAAAAGATAGGGCTACTCTGGAATCAGCCCAGAGAAGAGCAACCAGGTGCATTCCTGGGTTTCAAACGAAAAAACACAATTCTGCTCGTGTGCCTTCAGGGGTCACAGGTGAGCCTTCGTCAGGTGGTTTAAAAGTAACAGTATTTGTACAGAAGTACGCTGCTTCAGTCATCAGACGCAAAAGGCCTTATATAGAAAAAATCCTTTCTATGTCTGATTGAGGGTGGCAGAGCTGGCTCAGGGGTCAGCATTGCTGCCTTGCAGCGCCGGGGCCCTGAGTTCAATTCTGGACCTGGGGTGCTGTCTGTGTGGAGTCCGCATGTCCCCCCCCATATTCGTGTGGGTTTCCACCAGGAGCTCTGTTGGTAGCTTAACTGGCTTCTTGGAAAACGGGCCCTGGTGTGACTCTGTGAGGGAGTTTGTGTGTATCCAGTGATGGACTGGGGTCCCATCCAGGGTGTACCCCACCTTGTGCCTGTTGCTTGTCAGGATAGGCTCTGGCTTCCCTGCGACCCTGGATTGGGAGAAGAGACACAGGCAGGCCAGACGCCCCTGTTGTAAAGGGTGATACATGTGACTGATGTGGGAATATTCCTGCAGTGTTATTGTGACTGGACGACAGGATCATTAATATTCACACCCCACATGAATGGTACTGCTTTTAATTCTGACCTCAGAGAGATGAATGTTTCTTTACACACAGCTAGATAGACTCAGGACTTTAGGGCTCAGAACTGCCTCTGCAAGCAGATATCAAGGACAAACAGGATGTCAGGCATTTCTCCACCTCAAACTCTGATGAGGTCGCCAAGCGGTGAACAAATCTTTGGGACCTCAGAGGAAAAACGGCCACAGAAACGGACATCGGTTCCAGCCCCCGTGTTGAACAGGCTCTGTGAGCCACTGTGTGCAGACACACATTACCGGTGCCAGCTAACAGTGCTGTGCTGTGCTGCAGGGAGCCTCCACTACAGTCATAGCACCTTTGTGCTTGAGCTGTTGTCAACCTTCTTGATCTACAGCCGGCACAGAGGTGGGACGGACCGTTTGGGGGACACTGCCAAGTCGTATCTCACTCGATCTCCCACACATCCCGACTAATGGCAAAACCTACAGGCGCTGTGCAAACGCTACCCTAAAATTCAAAAGACCGTACTGCTGTGTCTGCTCACATCTGCTCAGATTCCTGACCCCTCGCACCAGGGGGCTCAGTGACCATAGCCTGCAAAAACGTCTGCAATAGCAAAGCCGACAGTTTGAAACAAAAGCAGACAAGATGCATTTCACATTAAAAAGGCACGAATTGGAGTCCTCTGCCCAAATCCGAGTGCACAACCCGAAGAGGAACTGCTGCTCTTGTCAGTGATGTGCAGCCTTAGTTCCAGCAGACGTGGGAGGAGCACAGAAGCTGTTAGGATGTTATTCTGTGATTCTCCCTGGATATTTTATTGCACTGTAACATGAATGACGTTTGCACAGTAGTACTCCATTCTCTCTCCTCAATATGGCCTCATTCCTGGTACAATCTTACTGCGGGAGGGCAAGATTTTGTTATTCATAATAAAATGGATAATCTTCACTGACCTTGCACGGAGAACAACACTCACTACAGTTCTGTTCAGCTGGATCTCGCAGCCCCACGTCTCTGAAGGAGGCCGGCACCCACGAGCCACAGCCCTGACCCCACAGATGCCTTCAGCTCCGCAACACCTGCGAGCCCAGATGTGAGTTTTATGATCTCTGCCGGGGCCCGAGATTAAAGTGCCCTTTTATCTGAAATAAAGCTTTCTCCGCTAACCCCGCAAAATCCCAGACACGGGACACCCAGGAGAAGAGAGACCTCAACCCCCACCCCCTATTTCCACTTCCCACGGGGACACCTGGCCCAAGATCGTGAGTTTGCTTGCTCTGCACACCCAGCGAACCCCAAGATCTTACCCCCCCACCCCCCCTGCCCCATCCCAACTCAGGCCCCTGCGCCCAACCCCTTTCTTCCCTCCACTTTGATCCTAATCCTTTCCAGATTCCGGAGAGTAATCGCCCCACGCTATCATGGCTTTTCCTCAAAGCGTTGACAGCTCATTTTTGATCACCTTCTTCTCATTCCTTCAGGTGTCTTTGATGCGGGAAGGAGACATTGATCTTGCCACGCCCCGCCAACCATACACACACACGATTTATGAGAAGTGAAATTTTCTCTTTCTGCCAGAAACATGATCAGCCTCCCCACTTTCATTTCAAACCAACACCCCCCCTCACCAGGCTGAATACAAACGTCTGCAGAACAAAAACCAGGAGTGTCCTGAGTGCCCACTCTGCCTCCCCCTACTCCCACCTCCCCTCTCCTGGTTTTTGTTCTCCCATGCTATATAATCTCTGCTGACTTCCCTGTCTTTCTCACACCTGAAGAAGGCTCCGCAGCCAAAACGTTCTTCTCTTTTCTGCAGGAATAAACCTTTACCTTGTTCCTTTGCAGCCTCCGCGTGCTGACACAGCCACCTGCCTGAACTACTTCTGCAGAAGGTTTCTGGTTTTAAAGTTCCCGCGTCCCTGGGTTTCATGACCCAGGTAATACCATGTCCACTGTAGTACCAGGAGCCCAAGGAGCTGCAGGCCCTGTAACACCAGGACAGAGGAGGACTGTGTTGGAGGTGCAGTGCTCTTCATCCAGCATGTTATACAGTTAAACCACACAGTAGTATGGTCTGTTCCAGTTAACCCGTCACTCTGTTTAGCACAACCAGGAAACCCATCTACTAACCAACACATGCACCACCTCGTTGAAACCAGTAACCGGTTAGTTAACGAACCGCTCGGTCAAGGATGACCTGCCATCTAGCGCTCAAGGACTGACTAAACCCCAACGGCCACTGGGTGCCCAGACTGACATCTGATCGGGACCCACGCGTTTTTCTCACTTGAAAAACTAGACACGAGCCGCGCTTCCTGAAGAGGGGCGGACCACCGGCTGCAGCCCCGCGCCCACGCGGCTCATGGCTAAAGCAGATGTGCGCGACACATGGTCCGATCATTAACGCTGGGCCCGCAGGGGACTCTCCGGCCCGCTTCCCTTTTCCTGGAATGTCCTCCGCGCCGAGCTGGAGTTGGGAGCCTCCGAACGGATTAGGCAGCGTGCTGGTCGAGAATTCGGCTACTGAAGAGAAGCAGCGCTGCAGGGTAGAGGCTCAGTCTCTGGGCTTGTCTTCGGGAGGTCCTGGGCCCAGATCCTGGGGGTTTGGAAAATACGGCTCTAAACCTGGGCAAGGCATTTCCCTCACCTAGCCTGAGTAACACGCCCCGCTGCATGCAGGGACACAGCCAGGATCAGGCACTCCAGAGGAAAGACATCACCCGAATAAGTTATAACAGCATGGCGAAAACACGCCCCGAGGAAGATGGAAATGACAAGGGCTGAGATGTCTTTGTTCTCTCTTTTATCTCGATGGTGGCCTGCTCTTGCTCGTGATCATTCTCGGTGAAATCAGTGGAAGTCTGAGCACAGGCACAATGACGGAGGAAACACACCTGAATACAAGTTCCAGGATTTTCCCATCATGGCTAGAGCTCTGCATCCAGCCCTTTCACAGGCCGTGCAATCATGTTTGCGCAGCACCTCGATCCTGCAGTGGAGCTCCCTGCCGTTCTGGGGCTCAGCCATATCTCCACCAGGAGACAGACTCTGGCCCGGGTCAGCCGTGTGTGCAAGGGGTCGCCCCCGAACCATTTAAGCCCCGTGACTCCAGTCCCCGAGCTCTGGCCTGCATTCGGAGGCTTCTTCCTGAAGCTTTAGATGGGAAGTTTACTTCAGGGCCAGAAAGAAGAATTACAGTCTGAATCCTGGAGGCCAATCTAGGAACGATGAGAAGTAAGCTTTCGGAATTAGAACGCTGATTCTGGATTTCCACATCTCAAAGGGAAATGTCAAGGAATCTGGGGTTTAAAGGAATGTCCTACTCTGACAGGTTAAAAGAACTCAGTCTTTTTGAAGAGGCTGTGCAGAATCAAGCACCCCAAACCCTCAAAGGCTCTGACGGAGTCAAGCTTCAGGACTATCAGTGACAAAGAACCAGAGGGCACACGTGGAAACTGCACAGAAGATCATTGAAAACTGAGAACAGGAGACAGTTATTTACACAAAGAGCTGTAGGAGTGTGAAACAAGGCACCCCATCATGCTGTCGAAGCTGATATCCTGGCTTCTTGCACGAAATGGCTCAATGGGATCCTGGGATCAATTCGCTACTATCAAAAGGATCTAACAGGCTGAATTGCCTGCTCTCATGTGCAACTCTTCTTGCGTTCTTGTGTTTTTATTTCTGGTATTTCTGCACCTCGAGCAAAACAGTCCGACGGACCCGGGACAGGGTTCGCAAAAGAAGCCCGGCGATTTGTTTTCTTTCCGGATTACAAAAACCTGCTTTCCTGTAATGCTGGAGCACGCAGCAGCTGCACGAAGGGAGACGTGCTTTTGTCCCATTTTTCTGTTGGAAAAAAATCAGTCCCTGCTCTTCATCTGCTTTGTCATTCGGTACTGCTTTATCGGAAACACAAGGACCCGCTGGGACAGTTCTGCACAGGCCAGTACTAAGGCTCTCCGGGCCTTGGCACCAGTACCAGGCCGGATCTGCAATAAATGACTAACTGTTTCATTTTTTCCTTTCAAAGGGGAACCCAGCTCCTATCCAATACGATAATAATGAAACTGTTTATTTTTTTAACTTTGGCAACTCATCAATAAAACCTTTGGCACGGAGCTCCTGAATGCTGGACATGTTTGTCAGATATTAACGGTTTGATTTCTAGCCCTGCCAGATGGAAAGCTGCAGCCCCAGAGCTAGGCACAGGCCAAGGCTGATCTGTTTAATCTGGGGTTAGAAGTAGAACAATAAAACACGTACTGCACACGCGCACAAATTCATGCACATTCACAAGCATACATGCACAAACACACATACTGTACACACTGCCACATGCATAGAGACGCACACAAACATGCACCAACACTCGTGCACAAACGCTCATACACACTACCACATGCACACACATACGCACTCACGTACTACAAAATGCACAAACAGAAGTGCACACATGCACAAATACTCACATGTGCAAATGCTTATGCACATACATGCTCAAAAATTCACAACCACCTGTACAAACACTCATACACTCCTACTACCACATGCACACAGATGCACAAAAACTCACAAACACTACCACATGCACACACACACACACACACACACACACACACACACACACACACACACACACACACACAGGCTGCCTTTTCTCCTCACATTTTCTCCTCACATGTCCTCACATTCATTCTCTCTTCCTCCAGGCCACACAAGCAAAGCTCTCAGGATTTCACAACAATCACTTGAAGATCAGGCTGCAGGAAAAAAAACAACGCTACACACGCACGCACGCGCGCGCACGTGTGTGTGTGTGCTCGCTCACAGCGCCGGGGGAGCCCTGAAGCCCGGGCCTCACCGGATCGGGTCTCGGACCAGGACTCCCCGAGGTGTGGCTCCTGAAGGGGTTCTGCACCGGCCCGGTCGCACCCTGAGCCCTCCAGGAAGCTCGCAGGGGGAGACGGTAAGAGGAAGAGGGGGGGGGCATGAGCTCCACGCGTCACGCAAAGAGGACGAGGAGGGACCCCCGTCTGGGACCCCCCTGCCGGCCCTCCTGTACAAACCCCTGCTGTGACAGGACGCCCCGCAAGGAGTTTCGGGAGGGTGCCCAGCTAGAAAAGAAACCAAAGGCCAAAACACACCGACGGGGTCGACACTCAGCGACACTGAGCATCCTGGTCCTGGGTCACAGCATCGCAGGGGTAAGCCACCCCCAGACGCCAGCTCCCCCTCGGGTGCGCAACGATTTCAGCCAGCGCGTGCGCGAGTGGAGCCAGTGTGGCGCTGGTCCTGCGTTCGCACATGTGGTCACCAGCAGGGCCCCCCCCCCACCACCACCACCCGACAGCAGCACGATAACAGGATATTAGACTCTTCCTCCCCTCCTTACCCTGAGCCACCCAAAAGCCCGCCATCCTCCGTCTTCACACGTCCCCTTCCTGGGGTCTGCAGATGGCACCTTCCCTCCGGGACTGACCGCACGCTCTTCGGAAAACTCTGATCCGAGGGAGGAGGAGAAGCATCCGTTACACACGCAGAGGTTTTCTATACGCAGCTGACGGGACAGGGCTGTATCCGAGACAGGGCTATTGAATCACCTGTCAGATCCAATCGTTAGCCGCCCATCTTCAGCAAAAGCTTCCCTCGACACCGCAGGCTCCCACCCTGCTGCAACAGACTCACCTCCGCTCTCAGCTTACACCTGTTCTTTCCTAATAAAGACACAACAACGCACCGCGCTCGTAGGGTGTCACATAAATCTTTTCAGAAAGCTAATGTAAGAGCCCCAGTTGGCAGCCTCCGCCTCTCTTTCTGACTTGGAGAGCAGATTTGTTTTCTTCCTCTGAAAGAGAAAGGCGTCACACAATGGAATGTACTTCAGCAACGTGCTCTGTGCTGATCGAGTGGCTGCACCAGCGGACGCAGCCGAATCCGCAGAAATGACATCTCATCAGAGGCGCTGGGACAGGGGGAGTGTTTTTTGGAAGGGCTCAGCAGCTACAGGCCTGACATGGTTGTGCCCTAACAATTTCATGGGTTCATCTTCGTAATCTAGCAAGCACCTACAGCCATTCCACTGCACACAGTGGCCACTCCCTGCTGCCACGCACACTGGCCACCCCAGTCAGGCACACAGAGGTCACCCCCGCCACACACTAGTCACTGAGCTCTGGAAAAAACCCTCCACCCAGGCAGCAAAGAATAACTTATCATCCGCAGGACACTGTTCACTTTAACAGCAGTAATGAAGATGTGCAATTAATCAGGCTTGACAATAGAGGATCCGGCTTCATTCCCACTCTTTTTTTGTCCTCTTTTCTCTCTCTCACTCTATTCTGTTTATTCAAAGACAGTCTCCATACAATAGTGATTTCTCTCTTCTTGTAATTTCTCACACATCCTTTCCAAAGCCGGCTTCTTCCTCCCCAGTCCCCAGGTCTTGCCTGGACTGCTGCTTCTCTCCTTCTGCAAACAAACATCCTTGCTTTTCTCATCTTTAGAAACTGTGCTGTGCTCCAGACTTTGTGTCTGTGCGCTGAACCGTTCTCAGCTCACAATATAGCAAATTAGCCCCAGTCACCAGGCACAGCACCTGCCTGCCTGTGTGAATGACTCCTGTGCTCTTTAGAAAAGATAGATTGTTTCCACATACTGACTTGGAGGTCGTTAGCACTACTTGCATGACCTAAAACGCAACAAAGTTCGCTCTTCTGGGCTGAACTTTATTATTAACTCCCTGCAGCCCAGCAACAGAGTCCTGAACACACTGCAGCCCTGCAGTCTATCACAGAACTACTGAACACACTGCAGCACTGCGCTCTGACACAAAGCTACTGAACACACTGCAGCCCAGCACTCTTAACACAGAGCCACTGAACACACTGCAGCCCTGCACTATAATACAGAGCTACTGAACGCACTGCAGACCTACACTGTGGCGCTGAACACTGTAGTCGTGTAACCTAATATCAAGCCATGTGAACAGACTGAGGCCGCGTCCTCTAAAAACCATGCTGCTGAACACACTGAGGCACTGAACACGCTGGTGCTGTGTTCTCCAAGATCGAGCTCCTGAAATACACTCACCAGTTCTCCTTGGTGGAGTGCAATGGCTAAAGCACTCGGCCCCAGGATACAGTATATGCTCAAGTGGGCAGATAGCACTTAACACTACACTAAAGCACGATATGAGCAAAGTAAGATATTGAAAAATAGGCCATCCTACACGCTTCGCTAGCATTTCTAAGACAAAGCAAGCATTGCAGTAGCTGATGAAACCGACATCTCTTTTTCGTGCCCCAGTTTATCAGGGAAAGGAGAATACAGGCCATGCAGCACGCTAGCCTCTTGCTCTGCTTGTCCTTTTACTTTACGAGCGCGTCAAAACTGCTCCACTGAGCGCCAGCCAGGTGGAGCAGGGAGTCTCTCGGCCATCTACACGTTGCTACAGGTCCGCACTGAAAGCCAGCAGCGCTGACCCCGATCTTAAGGAGAATTAAGACATGCCACAGGCGGCTGCGACCCCAGCAGACCTCCTGGTGTTAAATCCTTGTGTCGCTCGCAGCTTATGAGAGGGCTTGGCAGCTCCCAGAGGTGAAAAAATGCAAAGCATCCGTCGTCTTCAGCGCTCTGTGGCTACAGCCCCTTTGCGCTTAAAGAAAGAGCAGTCTCCGAGTTCGTTTTTCAAACTCATCCCCGGCAAAAAGGCCACAGGCAACCTCAGCCCTGCTGTGTGCGTAACAGTGGCACACCAGTGCGCACACTGTCGCTGTGACTGTCGCAGCAGAACTCTCTGCAAATCGGAGGATTGACTTGCCCCTCCATGTCTATTTTTACCTATAAGCATGAAATAAAAAAACAGCGCTGAGCTCAAATCGCCTTAGGAATTCATCTAAACATGCTGTATAAGCCACGATAACCACAAGGTCAGAAAACTCTTGTTGTTTAAACAGCATATTTCCTATTCTGGACTCGCCGACAATGATGCACTCCTGCTGTGAGCACTAGGGGAGAGACTTATCGGCGTCTCGACAGCCAGCGAGCTTCTGTAACGCTGTAACGCTCATCTTCTGAGCCCCCCCACGCGCCTCGAAAGTGCACACAGAGCACCCACACTTTCAGCCAGGTTTGCCGACCCACTGGCTGAACGGAGGCGATTAAGAGAGACCTGACACAAGGACTCAAAACCCCCCCACGGGGGCCCAACAAAGGCAGCTCAGCAGACTGGTTCGGAACCGGGAAACAGGAAGGACAGGATGTAAGTGGACACTATGCGGAGGCGCATATAAAAAAGAGGTAGTGCTTTACACAAAGGGTGGTGGGAGTGTGGAACAGGCTGCCCAAACACATCGATGAAGCTGGCATCCTGACGTCCATCAAGAAAGCTGACGAGATCCCCTGGGATCAATTAACTCCTACTAAACAGGCTAGATGGGTCAAATAGACGCCTGTTGCTTTTTTACCTTCCATATATTCTTAGATTCTTTCATGTCCACTAGCCTCGTGTCCACGCGCTATGCATGCTGCTGCGCCTCTTTCACACGCCTGATACTGGCTCTCTGCCGCTCGTTTACTTGACCGTCTTGCACATCTGCTCTCAGCTGCCTTCCTTCCTCACGCCCGAGGTGCCATCAGCTCACCTGGGCAGGTCGCAGCTTGCGTGACGGACAGGCTGAGAGGGTGTTTACGTGAGCCTGCCGGGGCTCTTAGCAGCCGCAGGCCCTTGCTGTCAGGACCTGCCTGACAGAGCGGAGTGCTTCTGCCATTCATTAAAACGCTTCCCCTGAATCCTTCCCTGCCACACACCGGCCCGCACAGAGGTAAAGTTTTACTGATACAGTCTGAAAATGGTCCTTTTCCGGACTTAATGCATAATAGGGCAGCTTATAAGCTTACCCACCCAGCATAGCCCCTTCACATCTACCTGCACGACGCAAACGTACCTGTTCCGTTTAGCACCTGTCAAACCTCCTACCTCGGTATGACACCCCTCTTCCAAACCCAGCAGCACGCAGCAGAAATCGGCAGGGTTGCAAAGCGCTGCCTTAACACAAGGGCAACAAGCTTGCACAGCATCGCGGGTGCAACAGTACAAAAACAGCACACACGTGGAATCAAATCGTGCAACTTCCCAGGCAACCCCCGGCACTTCAGGAGCAGTGGATGGAAAGGCTCATTTGCGTGAAGTACTTTGAGAACCCTGACCGGGGGCGATACTCCTCTCTCACCGTCCCTCTTCTGTCCTCTCGGAGGAGGGGAGAGCACCCGGGGGTCTGATGGCTATCTCTGAGGCAGGCCCAGGCCCCTCCTGGTCGGGCGAGCGCCACGGGTCCAGAGGTCCAGGGGTGGACTCTCGCTCGGGCTCCAGCGGCCCCGGGGGGACCCCAGCGAGGGACACGACCAGCCCCGAGGCCCGCCCCGCTGCAGGCTCGGGGGGGGGGAGTGACACTGGGAGGCCTCTCGGCCGGTCCGGCCCGTTCGATGGGCGGTTGCCGCGCAGCGCTGCGGGCGGGCCGGCCGGCAGGTGGATGTAGTTAACGACGCCACGCGCTGACAGCAGCAGCAGCGGCGGGCAGGTGGCAGGAGCTTCGCCGCCGCCGGTGAGCTCTGATCTCACGCCACAGCTGTCGGGGAGCAGCGCGGCGGGAGGGAAGAACTCCATCAACCAGCACGCAGGCGGCACACCGAGCTGCTGTCGGGGTGCAGGTGGGTACCCCTCTTCACTCTCTACCCCCCCCCTGCAGAGTATGGATTCCCGCTAGAAAATCAGAAGGATTAATTGTTAGAACAATCCATTGAGTCCCCACGTTCTGCACCGCCGTAATCCTCCTTGGAAGAATTAGGATATTGTGTTGGGGGGAGGAGGGGGGGGGGGGGGGTTTTTTCCCCCCAGTAAGGAGACCTGTCCTGAAAGGATTGGGGAGTGTGGTTTGATACCGTGTGGCCGGCGTCAGCCAATGGGAAACGGGGATCGGGGCGTTCCCAGTCTCCGCTGGCACGCCGGCGCCGCGGCGGGGGGCGATCTGGGTTTCTGGCAGGAGCAGGAGGGAGGAAACAAAGGCTTAGCAGGGAGATCTCGCTAATTGTTTCCATTCAGCCCAGTTTCAGTCTTAAAGAGTTACAGTGTGTCGCCGACTTTGGGCACATTCCTCTCACCGTTTTTCTTAATACTTTAAGAATCCGCAATTATTTTAATCTCGTTCCGGGGCTGCGGTCGAGTGTTGCTCGGGAAGGAGGCTGGCAGGGCGAGCAGGAAGAAGGAAGCAATGCCCTAACCCACCCTCTGCGTCCACTTGTTTTTCACAGATGGAGTCCGCACTGGGCCGTGTGATCTCTAGAGGAGCCATGGGCGCTGTGCGGCGGTCTGCTCTCCCCAACATGACCGAACAGCTCGCCCATCCATCACACGCACGAGACAAATCTCTTCCCCCGCGGCCCTGCAGCTTGGGGTAGGTGAGCGACCGGAGGGCAGAGTAAATCACTCCGCGCGAGGAGGAGGGTTCGAGCAGGAAAGAATGAGAAGCACGAGGCAGAGCCATAAATCACACCCCGAGTCCCTGCCGTCAGTGGGCCGGCATGCCCTGCGTCTTCAGAACCCAAAGTCAGAGTCGTAGACTGTCTGTTCGCGGTGCTATTCCCTTGCACTCATTCTCCGGGAATGCGGAACACATGCAAAGTTATCGCCGTGCATCCTGATTCCATACCATAGGTCCCCTCCTAACATCGCTGCACTGAAGGTGGTGGATATGATTACTGTACCAACCACAGTGGGGCCACCCTGCAGCTTGATCTGGTCAGGTCTCAGGAGCTGCTCCTGGCCAGGGCGGGGATGGGAGATCTCTAAGGGAAACCAGGTTGCTGTTGTTAGTGGTTTGGCAGTTGGTGGACCAGTAGGTGGCTCTCCTCCCCCTGGGTCAGAGT